GCTGGGGATTCGAACCCGCCCCCTTAGGTGTATGTGGCTGGCGCCTTAGCTGCTTGAGCCACAGGCGCCGAGCCAATTAATTTTTTTCTATTGGAATTCCTTATCTACCTTCAAAGGAACTTTCTGAGTGGTTCCTGCTGCTCTAAAACACACATAAAGGACTCAAAAACTTAAGAATAGCAGTGGTAAGTCCAACTTATTTTTATATAATATGTCTTACTTTAACTTTCTAGCATACTACTCATTATAAGCATAATTAGAAACCAAAGAAAGAGACAAATATAGATGACAAAAAATGCTGGTCCTTTGTAATAATATATAGGTAAAGGAAAATAAATGAGAACAGTAAACTAGGATGCAATCTGTTTCCTACAGGACTTTTTGTTTTTTCATATTTTTCTCTCATCTGGAGTCTGCTCTCATCACAATCCACTTCTGCCTGGTTAGAGTACACATTCATTAAATTGTCTATGTCTTCATAAAGCAATCTGACAGGAAAAACAGATTTTCCCAGGCCTAACATCACTAGAGCGGATCTTCCCTAAAATGGTACATCCCATCCCAGCCTCTTTGGTCCCATAAGCCCTGCCTCCCTCTTAGGGGACTTGGTGCTGTTGAGCTAACTTCCTTCTAAATGGGGCCAGTGCAAGATGGGAAGTTTTGAGCTCACTTGCCAACCCCACTAAACACTTATGATTAAATGAAATGGAAAAATAACATCTTCTTATAGGCAGTAATCTGTTTTCTATCTACAGTGGCAAAATATCAAATCAGGTACATACTGCAGAGATTGTAGACTCGATAGTGGTTTGGATGCTTTGTGTCCAGGAACCGTACAACTTCCTAAAAAAGATATATACATATCTTATATGTCCATGTGGTACCAAAATAAGTCATTTCATAAGAGTAACTTAAAATGATTATTACTTTCTATCCATTTACCTCACTCTCACTGGCATCCTCTGGGGGAGATTCAGGGACTATGAGGGTATGTTCCTTCCAAGTCATAGCTAACCCACAGTGTGTGCTTGGCTACTTAGATTAGCCTGTGCTCTCAATATGCACTGTTTAGAGTTACCAGAGAAAGAAATTAGGTGGTCAACTAACAAATTTCAGTAAATTTGTTTGGAATTGTTAATTCACAGTAACATATGATTCTTGCTTAAATCTAATTCTGCATAGATTGTCTTTTATGTAACAATGTGGATATTATAATCTATCTAAACATTATGAAATAAATACAAAAATATTAGTATAGATTATGTGTTTATGTGTGTATGGATGACAGAAAAAGATGAACATCAAATTTACAGGGGTCCTCAAACTTTTTAAACAGGGGGCCAGTTCACTGTCTCTCAGACCATTGGAGGACCAGACTGCGGGCCCGGGACTAAGCAGTCAGCTGCTAAGCAAGACAGGCAGTGGTGGCAAAAATACCTGGCAGGCTGGATAAATGTCCTTGGTGGGCTGCATGTGGCCTGTGGGTTGTAATTTGAGAACCCCTGATTAACAATATGGGGAGTCTTTTTTGGTCATCTGTGTTTTCTTATTTTCTAAAATGTATATATACCTGTGTATGTGTATGGTTACAGACATAGGTGGGCATATATATGTGTATAGCCTTTAAAATGAGAAATAGTGGTTATTATTTAAAATACAGTTAATGTCTCCATACTCATCCAACAACATTTTCAGAAAATTTATCCATATGAAATATACACACACATGTACCTTGGTACAACCACAAAAGTGACTGTTACAAAATTCAAAAACTGATTAGTATAGTACCATCAGAACAATGATTACTGCTTAATATTGAGAAAAAGTTAAGGTATAAAAGGGATCAATTTGTTAAACTGGTTATCCCTGTCAAGAGGAAAATCAAAAAGATGAACACTCTGCATCTGTATAGCATGGGGGAAGTCTTATACAATTTTAAAATTCATGGAATATCTTACACAGTATCCATATGTATTTAGAACTCAAGTATTAGAAAACTATAACTATCTCGAAGAGATTTAAGTGAATATGCATCAAGTTTTTTTATTAGGAAGAAGTTAAGTGTTGAATCAAGATACAGTCAATAGGTGTAGGTTTGACTTCATAGAAAATTGAAATTTCTGTTTAGAAACTGCCTCAACAACCAACCAACAGGGGAAAAGAATTTTCAGTAAAATTGACTGAATAGGATCTATGCCTAGTACAGAAATAAAATAACTCATTAATAGCAACTTAAGTAGTACACCCTCTCCCTATGGATAAATGGGCCAAAGACATAAACAATTCACAACATTGAAATTACAGCAACCTACAGAGGTGCATATGCAACCTCACCAGTAATGAAGTCAACACAACAACATGCCATACTCACCAATGAAATTAGTCCTTTTTAATAAGAAAACTCAATGCTGGCAAACATGGCATGAAAATAAAATCTTTGATTTATTGATAATACAATACTTGGCAAATACATGTATATTAACAACTCTAAAATGATTCATACTGTTTATGTAATTTCACTCTATCCAGAAAAAGCCATATGCTCAAAGATTTTTTTTCTGTTTTATTGATTAACAGTGACATTTATATGTCCTACATTAGAGATTTATTACAGTATTAATGAAATACCAGGCAATCCTCATTCTCTTAGCAAGTAAATATTCCATAGTGGTAAATCTGTGTGCAGTCTTCTTTAGTATACTCATACATAAGAACAGTCAGCATTTGCTTCTTCATGGATGGTTAAGCTTCAAAAAGTTTATTAAATCACTTCCTAGTTCTTTCAACATCTAAAAAGCGATCTTAAGGATGTGACATTTTGTGCATGAGTCTATTCTTGACTCAATATGTAGATGATTTACTACTGTGTTTTGTGATCTAAGTAGTTCACCTGAAGACTCCAAATACTTCTTATTCCAAAGTAGCTAAAAAAGGACATAAAGAATCTAGAAAAAGTTCAACTCTGCCAAGAATCTACATTTTTCTGGTCACAGTCTGTCACCAGATGGACAGTTTCTCTCCTCAACCAGATTAAAGTGTATTCAATTGGATCAAGGCCAAAAATTAAAAGATGGCTATCTAGGACTATAGTTAATATATATCTGATTTTTCTCAATAGTTTAGCCTTTGTATGGACTTACTAAGTCTGTAATCCCTGGAATTCTTCCTATGATATATAAGTGGAAAAAAGCTGTCTACACTTTCAAAGTCTTCTTGCAACACCTTGGGGTTCGCCTAAACCCTCCTCTCTGCTTATTTTTCCACATTTCTTGATCTGAATGCAAAGGTACCTCTTTCAATGAGATGGCAGTCCTGGTCAAACTTGTTGCTGCTTCTACCTAGTGCTCTTTCTCCACTAACTCTATGGATGCTACGTCTGTACAATTTTTGCTGCTTCAAGGCAGCATGTAACATTTTTCTGTCAGCAAATTTAACACCTGTGATATTTTACTGTATGATTTGTAAATTCAATGTTGTTCAAGCATAACCCTGAAACCATATTCCTTTTTAAAGATAAAGGAGACTCACACGACTGTTTAACAGCCTCCTAGGAGTTAAGTAGGCCTGGATCTGAATCTTGCACCCTTTAGCAAACCTTGATTAAATATACTTTGTATCATGGAAATACAAAATATTTCTGGATAGCATAAAAATCTCTATGCTCACAAACTTCAAAATGTGGAGGAAGCAGACAAATTCTTGGAAACGCACAACCTCCCTAGGCTCAACCAGGAAGATAGAACTCCTCAACAGACCAATATCAAGCACCAAAACTACTCTGAAATTTTTAAAAACCCAAAATACTTTGTAGATGCTTCTTATCTTAAAAGTGACAAAAGCATTCTGTGTGCAGGATATGCTGTTATCATTGAACATAAGACCACAGAAGCAGTGACATGGCCTAAGTCCCAGTCAGCCAGGTGGCTGAACTAGTATCTTAGACTTGAGGCTGCACTCTGGAAAAGATAGGAGACTACATAATATTACTATGAACAGTAGATATACTTTTTGTGTGATTTATGATTTGTGAATTTTATGAAAACCTCTAATTTATCACCTTCTTTTTGGATACTCTGAAAATAGCAAAGAGATCAATGACTTAATAGAATGTTGTCAATACCCTAAGGAGATAAGAAACCACCCCAAAAGCAAATATGAATGTCTTTATTTTGATTTACATACAAAATGGTATTTCTGGCTTTTAAACAAAACGTCCCAACTATTATTAAGTGTTGCTCTATTTATATTTGTCACCAACAAACCTACAAAAAGAAATTTTGCTCAATTTAGATAAGCTGTAATTAACCTACAGTTATCAGCTCAGTCTACTAAAAAGCAATTATTAGCAATCAAGGAATGCTTAACTCATAAAATATGGATTCTGGCAATTTGGGGTTTCCCTGAAGTGGCATGATTCATCCAATGAACCTGGGTCAAATTACAAACAGATTTTTATACACCTGCTCAAGTCTTGAGTCTGTATATTAGTTACTATTGTTGCATGGATAGAAATATTTCTCTTCCTGCAAATAAGGGAGAATAATTCCATCAATGGTTTCAATTCTTCACCTTTCCCTATACACAAGCCCTTGCACTTCACCTTGTTTTGCCCTCTCTCATTTTGGGCTCCATCATATGAATTGATTTGGACAAAAGGATGACACAAACCAGAGGTTGCAAAAGCACTTGTGAGATTCTATTCTAGACTTTGCCTTTTGCCATCAGTTTGAAATGTAGCCAGGGTAGCCTGATGGAGAATGAAGATGAGTTGAGCTGATATGAGTTACCCACATATCCTAGCCAAGGTCAATGTAGACCACCTGATAAAGGTATGTCAAGAAAGGAAAACTGAATATCTCTCATGAATATAGGCAAAAAAATTCTAAATAAAATGTTAGCAAATAAAATCTAGTGATATATAGAAAAGATAATATATTAAAACCAAAGTGAGTTTACTCTGAGAATAAAAACAAAAATCTGGGTTTAACATTTAAAAGTTCTATTCATGGAATAACAGAAAAAAAATTTTATTATCTTGATAGATGATGAAAAAGTATCTCAAACATTCAACACCAATTCATGATTTAAAACGTTTAGCAAACTAGAAATAAAAGGGAACTATCTTAATCTAGTAAAGGATATCTGTAAAGCCTGTGGGAAATATCATTTTTCATAGTGAAATATAAACTTCTTTCCATCTAAGTTTGAGTGTGGCAAGGCTGCCTCCTCTTACCACTTCTATTCAACACAGAGTGAAAGGCCTAGATAATACAAGGAAGAAAGAAAAAATAACAAAAAGTATAAAAAATGGAGGCAAAGTAGTAACTTAAGTAATTATATACACAAAAGTCCCAAAGAATCTATAAATTAATTATTAAAATGAATGCATTCATTTATGAAGGATGAAAGATGATGGATATAATGTCAATATACAAAAATCAGTTATAGTCCCAAATAATGATAGCAAATAACAAAATAAAATACTTAAAATTTTATTTAAAATAGCATAAAAACTTATCATATACCTAGAAATCAAACTAACAAAAAACAGGTAAAATCTGTTCTCTGAAAAACATGGCTAAAAATAAACAAATATGTTGTAAATAAATGGAGAGATATACTATATTTATGGGTTGGAAGTCTCAATATTTTTAGATGTCAGTTCTCCCCCAATTAAGCTATGCGGTCTGACAATTAGGTTTGTGAACACGCCTCTATGAGCTTACATTGGAAGCATTGTACAAACAACTCAGTATGGTTTCAGAATCTTTGTATATCACTGTCTCATAGTGAGAGAGGATACTGGAAAGGGGTGAGGTCTGGGAGAACAGGTCTTCTCAGGG